GGGTATTTATTTATACAGTTCCAGACCCTACCCCAAACACATGGTACAGTAACACATTTGATCTTTAATGAACTTTCTAAAAACCTCCTTCAGATTCCTTCTGATATTTTGAAGCCCTTTCCAGGCCATCCCTGGTGGGGATCTCCCCTACAGGCCTCTTGAAGTTCACCAGTGCTCTGAAATCGATCCAAAACATTGCCGGGAACTAGAACTACAGAGAGTGCTAAGGTTCATTTGACTGAGTGATTTGACTCACCAGTCTACATATTTCCTTCTGAGAAGTCAGCTCTATTTATGGGCTTTCGGTGATCAAATTCCCGTTTGAACATACAGAGCACGAAAGCTGAAGTCTGCAGCTTTAAAGCTATGTTGAAAGCTAGGTTCCAAACAGGATCTGTTGGCCTGAGTCACAACCCAGGGTGTGGTCCTTAACATCTTGAAGACTGGTTTTTCAGAAACAAATGAGCTTTGAGTCCAGAATTAACTCAGCTATCTATTTTTCCCTCTGCTCCTTCTGTGCTGCAGAAAAATTGTGTTAATTGGTGCCACTAGAAAAATTTTTGCTGTCCTAGATTTCCTGTTACTATATGCCACTAGAAAAATGTTTGCTGTCCTAGACTTCCTGTTACTATTTCTCCCTTGGTCTCTCTTCAGGATCAGCCTTTCCAGGTCTGCTTCCACCTGGGTCTCTTAGGAATGGAGGAGACAGATTTCCCTGTCCCCTCCCTGGGTGGTGCACGGGCACCCATGAAAAGCTTTGCCTTTTAATTTTCCCACCAGGTAGACCTGGCTACCTGCCACCCCCTGGCAGGAGGCATTGGATCCTCTTGTGCCATTTGCTGGTTCAGGCAGATTTTCCTAGGTGTCAGGTCAATAGTGAGCCCTGGCTTTCAGCTCTGCTCTGTGTTCCAATGCTACAACTCCAGCCTGCTTTCCTAGCTGGAGTTCTCTTCTGATACAAGGCTCACTTTTAAGTTTACTTTTGTCTTGGTTACTTTTCTCTCCTTGCTGGGACAAAATACCTGAGGCCCAAAATTAAGGAAGGAAAGGTTTATTTCGCTTACAGTTTGTGGAGGATTCAGTCCATACTTGACAGGTTACAAGGCGGACTGGCACGTGGCACAGAGCTACAGCTCATGGCGGCAGAACACAGCAAAGCAACCAGCACACACACAAGGGAGGAAATGGCCAGAAGCACCCTCTTTCTCTTACTTACATATGCAAACTATCCACCCCAGGGTGGGTGCAGCTCTCACACCCATAATCAATCAAACTCTAAAAGCCTGCCCCATGACCGCATGAGATTTTGGGGGGACACACAGACACAAACCATAACAATTTTCTATAAACCCCTCAGCATAACACCTCTGCTACCGCTCCAACTTGCTTCCTGAACTCTGCTCTCTCAGGGCCAGATATAGAAGCCGCAGTTCCTTTGTGGGGGTCCTAGGTGCCGAACACTCCATGGTCTCCTCATCTAAGTTCGCCATTTCTCTAAGATTTGCATTCTCCATTCCTGACATTATAACTTGATTCTGACTTGTTTTATTCACTCTTGCCTAACAAGGAGCCAAATTTATAGATTCTACTTGCTAAAAGTTTCCTTCTTTTTAATCTATTTTCTGGTGAGACTCCTGGCATTGCTCTAGCAGAGCATCTGACTTGGCCTTTCTACTTTTGAAAAGGAAAGTTCAGAGAGAGCTGCAACAACCCAATTAAGCCAGAAAGGAAACTGTAATAAGAAGGAGAGATTCAGCGTTTCTGTAGCTTTTAATTTGGGGCTAAATGTTATTTCTACCAGTATTTCTGGAATTAATTAAATTACCCTGATAGAAATCAGAAAGCAAACCGTGGCTTTGCATCCAGTGTAAAGGACAGAATTAGATTCAGAGGTGCTGTGTCCGCAGTGCTGAAGGGGAAAGGTGGAGCATTTTACTATAGCTTGTGAAGCATCAGTTCAAAGTGGCGGTGGTCATATTACTTGGTGGAGGTACTACGTCGAGAGAAATGTAAGAAGGAATATCAGGCCAGGGATATAACCCAGCGCCTGCCTGGCAAGAATGAGGTCGTGGGTCTGATTCCCCATACCAAAAAAAAAAAAAGGGGGGAGGATTCATGGCATCAGATGAGTCAGCCCCAACCCATTCCCTGGCTGTGTGACCGGCAGGTGCCTCGGTCTCTCCGGTATGGCTCTTTCATTTATGAAAGTAGGACTGACATGACTGACCCGCCCCGAGAGTTCTCACACTGTGTCTGTGATCCGGAGGGTTGGAAGGTGGGAGCCGGCAAGCGGGTGGGGTGTCACCTCTCTGCCTTGTCCTCCTCTCTCCTCCTGCCCTCCTGCTTCTCTCTTCTCTCTTCTCTCTCCTTCTCCTAAGTGCTTTGCATATCCAGGTGCTGCTGTTGCTTTTGAAGCAAAGTAATTTGAACCAACTGCCTCCCTTTAAAAATCCCCCTCCGTATTAGCTTATTTTTTTGGATTTCTTTTGATGCTAAAGGCTATCGCCTAAATGTGTAGGGTTTGGTTTTGGGGTTTGTTTGTTTTTTTCCATCTTTTTAAACTATTCTTACCAATATTTCTTACCAAAATGTGAGCCATTTGAAAAGCGTTTCCTGGGCACTAATGATTGCAGAATTGAGGGGAAATCTCCAGCTGCCCGCATCCTGGGGCTGAGGAGGTGGGAGTGGGTGTGAGCTCCAGGACTTTTGCTGCACCCTGCAGAGAACCGGCCGCCTTGGGAGTTTGCCCTCTTGTCTTTGCCTGGGCCTGAGCTACGCTAGCGCTTGCCCTCTGCCTCTGCCGAGCGCTCTCTGTGTGTAAGGCATCTCGTGCACCCTTTTAGTTTAGTTCTGCCGTGGCTGGCTTCCCCTCTGGATGGGCCCCTCTCTGCTGGGGGCCTCTTTCTTCTGTCTCTTTGTCCTTGTCCCCGATGCCCATCACAGTGCTATCAGGAGCCAACAGACACTCTTACTTGAAAATAAAAATTATATTAAAAGTTTACCAGCTTTCTTTAAATGATCTTTCAGTAAAACGCAAGAGAAGATCAAAAGATACAGTGAATATGTAAATTTTTAAAGATGTTTTATGGTAACAATCATGTTACTGTTAACATCCCTCAGAACGCTGTCCCTCACGTCAAACACACTTATCTCATCATTCTTGCCACTTTCTGAAGCAGTTCTGGAGGTCCTCTTTCTTGGGTGTCGTTCCAAGGTGTGGTAGAAAATCCAGTGAACGCTGCTGCCCAACGCAAAGGTGCAGCAGTGTGTCCTCATCCACTTGATTTACTGCATCTGGCACTGGGTGGGCTCTGCCTCTTCTGTAAAGGCCAAATGACCCTGAAGGATCAACGTTCTCACTCAGCTCAGGACGCAGAGGCAGCCACCACCGCACAAAGACAAACACTGAACAGATCTTCCAGAACCGCTTCGGGAAATTGCAAGACTGCCTTTGCTATTTTACTCCATTTTTACACTTTCTTAAAATATGATCAGTACTTTAACAGATCACTTAAAAGTTAACATGCTTTCCTGCCTTTAACTCCTTCAAATTTCAAACAGCAGTGCATCCTTCATAACGCTGTGGAGCCTTTAGAACTTAGGTGAAAGTCATCTGATACTTTTTATCACTGATAATATTTTATCTTTAGTTCATTGAAGTTGATTGGATAAGGATGGGATTAAGAAGATCCTAAAATACTGCACTTTAAAACTTGACATGGTACATCTGTCCATAAGGAAAATATTAGGGAACCAAATGTAAATCGTTGGAAATCCATATAATTTGAATTGTAAGTTTGCTTTGAATGAATGAAACACAATATCTGCATTTCTTAGTGACATTTATTAATGACGGAGTTTACTGAAGTTGCCATGTGCTGTTTCAGGGGCAGGAGACAGTAGCTGAGTAGAATTTGAGGTGTGTACCACCGCTCCAATTTCTTGCTTTAAATTACAGTGAAAATTAGACCATGAGATTTCATCTGATATTATTTCCGGTTAGATGGCAAGTAGGAACGGACAACACAGCATGTGGGGACTTCTCTCTGCACTTATCCTACTGTTGACACCAGAAAAATAGCAGCTTGCCTGAAATATATATCTATAGCATCCATTCATTGAAGATTGAAAGACATAACCAGTTAACTGGTTCCATTAGCAGTCAATTCAACTGACACTTCCTTCTGAAATCAACTGAGTCTCAGACTGCGGGGCAAACAGCGATATAACTACCAGTCACTGAGTTGCCGGGATTTATTCCTCCCAAGTTTCAGAAAGGTTGTGCTTTACTGTGGGCTTGGTGAGAGTGAAGGCTTACAGAATCCACCTCTCAGACCCTGTAAAAATAGTCATTCCAGCAATGTGCTGTTTAACGTAGATAAATGCAGGTGTGTCCTGTCTCCTAATGTCCGCATGCTTTATCCCTGAGGGATAGACACCTTAGTTTATTCCACCAGGTCAAAGACCCCCTGTATAGACAGTGAAAATACTTGCATTTACCAATAGAGGACAGGGGAGTAAAAGAGTATTTATTTAATAAAAGAATGCACAAACGAAGAACTTCTTATAGGGTCAAAATAAGATTCAGCGGTACTCTAAGCGCCCAGGGGTGTTCAGTGTGATTAAAATATGTGACGTGCTGATACGTTTATGGTGCTGAAGTTACACAGAGCCAACGGCCAGCTCAGCTGGTCACCCGTGAAAGCAAATCAGAAAACAACAGCAAAACTGAACAGCAATTTCACGAGTACATCTACCTGTTACTAATGTGGCTTGATGCTTAGGGCAAAGACACACTGGGTATTTGTTAAGTACTTGCTGAATTAATAAATTGGGTTAAATGTGGTAAAATTAATTACTTCCATAGTTATAATTCCACTGTCAGTTTTGAAGCTGATAACTGCATGGCTTGATGCTTCCTTGGATCTTATGATTAGAACGTGCCGCAGTGATAACGGACAGTTTACATTGCTTGACCTGTTGTATTCCTGTATTTGCAGGCAAACGGACACAGTTTTGTACATATGGAACACGAAAAGGCTGTATTACTACTGAAGAGTTTCCAGAACACAGTAGACCTAGTTATTCAACGTGAGCTTACTGTCTAAATATTTTTTTATAAATAGTGAAGATATGTCTAGCCAGACCTAATGTTCAAAAAGAAATTTATACATAGAAACAAATTTTGCCAATTGCTGGACCAATGGCAAACATTAGTGCCAAATGTATAATACTGTATGTCAGCACTGATCATCCTTAAAAATGTAACTCTATAAATACGATGTTCATGTGGTTATGTACAAGTTTTAATTGTCAGCCTCGGGCTGTGCATTGGTGCAGTTTTGGTTTTGTTTTTTAATCAAAATCAGTTTCTTCTCAAAGTAGATTTCATATAATTTCAGAGCACGGAAGCACACACAAGCTCTTTATGAATTCTGTTCTCCATCAGAAACACTGCCTCAAAGTTGTATATGCCTTTATATAGAAAATACAAGTATAAAGAATTGTAATTCCCATAAAATATTTCTAGCACAAGGTATATGTTGGCATATATACAAAAAGAATATAGAGAAAAACAATATTTTCATAAACTAAACATCTCGGATTGAGAAAGAAAATATATCTTAAAATAAGACTTTACTATATTGAATCTTTTTCAATAAAAATTACGTGATAATGCCTTATGAAAGTAACTGTACATATGGTATAAAGTGTTTATATTTGGTTCCATATTCGTTTGCTAAATTCTCATAACACAGAGTGAAATATTTCATAAATGATCCACTTATCTCTGGGACCTGAATAAGATAGGACAAACTAATCTGTTCAATGCCTTTAGCTAATTATAATACATGCAGAGCTAAGAAATAGACCAAAAGTCATTGTAGAGAGGCCTTTTTTCACCACAAACTCAAGCCGTGAGTGATGGGTGGCAGAAAAGCACTGTTTTATTTCTTTCAAGGTGATGTTGATTATATAAACTGTAGCCCCTGTTATTTCTTTACTTGCCAATGTGGAATTTATTTGTGTGCTGCTTTGCAACTTAAGAAATCTATCATTAAGGAGGACTTTTCAGAAGCTTATGATGACTAATTTAAACACTTCAGTATTTAAGTATGAAACTTCAAATATAATGTCTCAGAGCTGTGGCCTATTTGTATTATTAATTTCCATGCCAACTTTTGTGAACAGAAATACATAAAACATTTCTCCTCCAAAGGTTTCAAGGTATATAACATTTTGAATATTCTCACTAGACAAGCATGTTTGATGTAGAAATTATTTACTTTGACATGGGAGCTGTTTTGTCTCTGAATGATCAAAATTCATTTTATGATCCTTTAAAAATACTTCCTTATATATTATTTTAATTTGATTAAAATATTAATTTGAAATTCGAAAACAATTCCCCAGAATTGGTTGTATGCATTCTCCCTCACATTTCTACATAGGTTATACATATACATAGTGGGTTTACTTTACATGGTAGTGTTTTAAACATTCTCTTGGGATTTTACAATAGAATCACACATCGATGTCACCAGAGCTCTGAGAATAATATTTGTAAGTTAATGTTTTCTGGGGACATTGAAAATATTGTATTTTTATAGGGTCTATTAAAATGAGTGTCACTTATTAGAAATACAGTGGTATTTTTTGGCATAGAATTTGTCACTTGAAGCCAAATGATACTTCATTTTATAGATGATGCACTAACTTTTATGTTGCTTTATATCAGGGTGACATGATGCCATGATTTCATAGGCTTTGACAGTTAGCTAACAATTACACAACTAGCCTATTTATTATATTTCCCAGGAGTAACTTTTAAATGCATTTTCATGTATTGAAAGTTTCTGGTGAGACATGTCATTCAGAGCCTGATTTTCCTTATCAACACCTCATGCCACACTACTGTATCCAGGTGTTTTAGAACGGTCATCATTAATCAAGAGCGAGGGCCTCCAGGGCCTTGTGAGATCACTTAAAGGAAATACGGACTCATGAATGATGAAACATCTCAAGTCATCATGTCCGTGTGGTTTAATTTTTCATGGGAGGGGAGAGGGAAGAAAGAGCCAGAGGTAGGGTTCCCCAGGTCTCTCTTCTCTGTTAGATTCGCACAGCGACCCCAGGGCTTGAGAAGATACTCCTGAGGTCCTGATCTAAGACCAGGACCCTCATAAACACCTGCCACTCCTCCACAATGTGGTGGCTTGGGTTAATTCCTTAATAATTCCTGTTCAGCAGTTCAGAAATGAGGGAAAGAGGAAAAGGGCCCCTCACCACCTGGAGAAGGAATCCAATATGCCAGAGCACCTCGTTGTCCATTGTATTATTGTGCTGCATACCGAAGAGAAGCCTTTCTTGGTTAAACTTTCCTGAAGTGAAGTATTGATCACTTCAAGGATAAAAGTTCTAATCTGTTTTATAGGTGACTAAAAATGAACAATTGATTTTTGAGTATTGACTTTTGAAGGTGCGGGGTTTATTGATTTGCTGCCTGAAACTAGAATCTGGTTCATGTCAACAGTAACAAAAGAATTCAAGGGGATGAATTTAGAAAGAAAAAGGAAAAGGAAAACAGCAGTAATGAGAGGAGTTCACAACGGCTCCAGTAGATTCAGCCCCTTGGTTTCTATTGGAATTTTCCTGCTGAGGAAGCTGTTTGTACGAGACGGGTCAGTCAGATGTCATGGAAGGGATTGAGAAAGCTTACAGGTGCGAAGACCAAATGCTGAAAATTACTGGCAGAATTGCTGCAGATTTTGTAAGTCAAACAGGGATTAGTTTTAGGCATTTAAAGAACTATTCACAAGACTTAAATACTTTGTCATGAAAGCTTTCTTAGGATAATCTCGGCACTCTAGACAACACAAGTCACCTAAATCTAAAATAATTTCAAAATGTGTATCATTTGCACAAGGAATACTGTTTGCATCTGACTAATTGGTGTCCTGCTTACTTAGAATTTTAATTATGCAGACCACACACAATCTCCACTGTTCCTGAACCTGACTTTGGAGTACCACCTTTGGAACAGAAAACTGCTCTGAACAGGGGGTAATAAACCAACACTTGTCTTTAATCTTAAAGATGACTGCACACGTACCACTAATATAATTGCTTATTTAAAGGCAGAACTGAAATATCTTTTACCGTGTGAGGTAAAGAAGTGAGAAAATAAATTTCCATTTTCAAATATTAAATGAGAAGTATTTAAATATGCTATAATGATTAGCTAAAGAAAACCAGAGAAATGTATTTGTAATCATAAAATCTATTTTATATCTCTATTAAAATTTAAGGCTTTGGGAAAATAGTACTCTTGCCAGCTGTCCTTCCGGTGGCATTGAGGGCTGCCCTTGATCAACTCCCGCCCCTTGTGGGCGCGCAGGGTAACAAACGTCTATTCTGACGTCCACTCTTATTAATGTGGCATAACCAGGTGAAAACCCATACTGGCGTAGGACTGCCACCGTAGGTCCTTGTAAATTCAGTCAGACAACGCATCTGGCTGATTCCTCAAAAACCTGACACAACGGCAGATTTACCAGAACCCTGCATTAAGAGAAAGGTTAGAAATTATACAAACAGTACAATCCAGTAAACTAAGAGGATGGCTCCTTCATCTAGTGTAAAGAAAAGCCAGGTGAGGCTCCAGTGAAATTGCTCTCACAGAAATGTTGAATTTCTCTGAGCCCGATAGAATGCTCAAATACTGAGTCAGCGATGTGCCCTTTCTATAATTGTAGCAATCAATTGTAGCCATCAACTAGAAATTGGCAAAAAATTTCCAGATTCAAGATCAGTTGTACTTCTTGTTTTCCTTGGCAATAGAACCTCTTTTTATTAAGAAATGCATCGTGCTTTTCTCATAATATTTCCCATCATCTCCTTGTCACACATTAGGGCAAGAAAATAGGACGTGGGGTGTGGAGAATGGGGCGCGCTGTGGAAACGGTCAGGTTAGCGTTGTAAATCCCACATCCGGGCCCTGGAGCCATGCTTTCAGCTCCATTTTTATCCAAACCATTCAGAGAGCACATTTTCCCAGGCACCCAGAGGTATGAAACTAAGCCAGGTGCCATCGAGTTTTCCGGTTCCACCCTGAAACTTACAGGACTGACCTCTCTCCCTCGCTGCTGCTCCAGGCCCAGCCTCCAGCTCCTGTGCCCCTCGAGGCCGTGGATTTCTTCTTATTTCCCACTGAGAAATAAGCGTAAGTCCCCCTTCGCGCTCTCACTGTTCAGAGACCCTTGAGTGTCAGCCGATGGCTTCAGCTTTCACTGTGGGAGGAACTTTCTTAGGTGGTCAAGGAACCAGGCATAGTGGCATTGACCAAAGCCCCAAGGTCGCTGCCAATAAAAATGAAATTTAGAGGCGAAGGTTGAGGGTGGCGATGCCTTCAGAGAACTCTTTCCGTTTTATTTTTTTCTGTTTTTTAAATGTTGGATTTTGCCATAGTGAGGGACTTTCTCTGGGCCTTCTAAAATGAAATCATAAAATTCTTCTCTTTTGCGTTCCTCCAAAATGCCCCCTGGCTGGCACCTCCTGTACACTCTCAGGGGAGCACAGGCGCCCGAGGTGCGATGTAGGATGCGCTGCTCAGAAATGCAGTGACTTCAGTGATCTCTTGTGGTTGCTGGCTAGTAGAACAGGGCCCAGTCTTCCTCAGCTCTAACACTCCTGCAAGGACAAAGGCTTTGAAACTCTCCGAGGGGACATAAACAGCCCGGCTTCTGCTTTGGAAAATTCAGAGGGCTCTGAAACAGGAGTGGCAGGCAGAGTCTAAGTTTTGAGGGAACATGAAGTGAAAACAGAGGAACAGTGACCCCCTGGGTTTTAACTGCATGTTCATTTCAAACCGCCCTGAGAGGAGTTCTGTGAGAAACAAGGAGAAAAGAAAAATAATTTAGTAGTGCCAACTTTTAAGGCGTTTCTTCAGCTAATTGGTTTCTCCAGTTGGATTCTGGGTAGGGCCGCCATCTTGTGCTCTTTGTGACAACATATTAAATGCTGCCTAAGGATAAAAAAAATGACTTAAATTTAAGGCTGTCCCACATTATGTGGGTATTTCTGTGGGAGTATCTCCCCAAGCTGACTAACACGTCTTTGGGGGTGCCCAGTTTTGTTCATGGCAGCACCTCAGACAGTAAACGGTTGTGAAATTCAGGAAGCATTTATATAGAGAGAAAATAGTAAAATTCTGTGACTCTTATTAGGCAAACATTGGAACCAACCTTGGCCTGACTCAGACAAAAAGTCGTGGGTCCAATTTCCACAAGTAAAAATTTTAAACCTAGCTTTGTTTCCTTTTTAAAAAAAAAAAAAAAATCTTATTTTCATGCTTTAGACTAGTATAATTCTCAGTGGGCATAGGAATTGGTGCTAAGGAAAAAAGTTAAATGAATCCTCCACTATTTTGCTAGTTTTGAAAGTATTTTTTTTTTATCAGTGTTGTACAAGTATCTTGTTCATGCTGATTTTTTTTTTTCCTTCTTCAAAATAAAACAAGAAGTAAGCAACCTAGCAGACAGCCAGGTATTTCTACACCTGGAGTAAAATATCTCTACACGGGCTTCATTTTCATCTGCAAAAACATGTATTTTTCTCCACAGGAAAACATGTAGCATAGGTGAATCTCAGAAGCCTAAGGTATGTTCCTCGTAAACTGACAACAGTTGGAGACCTTTCATTGATGAGTATAACAAAACCGTTCATTGCGGTGATTATAAATATTCCAATAAAATATTTGTTGAGCACCAACTACACACCAGGCACTGAGAATAAAATGTAGTCTCCCACACACAGAATCTCACAGTCAAGTGGAGACAGAAGTTCCAGACAGTACGAGACAGTGTGGTGAGTCCCTTTGTTCCTGTCCTGAACCCATCCAAAGGCAAAAGGAAACAGCATCCTTAACTTGTCACAGCTTTGGGGTTTGAACATGGTGATCCAGGTGGCCCCTGGGAGGTCGTTTAGAGGCTTGGCATTGTGAGGGAAGCACTGCGAAACCTAGCCGCTCCAGAGTGAGTGCCTTGAGGGGTGAGGTCATCACAAAGCAGAATTCCTTGAGTCTCTGGAAGAGGGGCCATGGGTTTGTCAGTTTGTGAAGAGGAAAGGGCATGGCATCTTCGGTCCGGTCCAGCCCTGGGTCTATCAACCCCTGAGCGGAGGAGAGAAGACGATAAAAATCAACACTCGAACAGACACGAGGTTTCTCATTGAAAAAAATCTCTCCACATGGTGGGAGGTCACCAAAGCTCCCTCCTGTGACTAGCGCCTCCTGCAGGCCATCAGGAACACTGCAGTCCCTGCGGCCCAGAGTTAAAAGCCACTCAGAAATGCAATTCAGCAAAGCAGCTGGCTGCTGTTCGCGTTTACTTCTTTCAGTCAAAAACATTTTTTTTTTCTCCCTGCATGCTGGTCAGTCGAGCCCATGAAAACACTGCTTCTAAGAGGCCGGGTCGCTCATATCCACATCATCAGCCGCTTACTCTTCCAAGGGAGCTGTCAGCTTTTGAATCTAAGGATGTTTGTTTTTCTTCGCCCTTTGACGGTGTCTTCCCTGGGTAGCCACTGTGTTCCTGCAGCCGGCGCCCAAGCCCTGTCTAAGGTATCAAAACCACACGCAGGCGTCTAGGTGCAGCTTCAACAGCACCGTAACCGCAGAACCGTCCCTAACCCCGGCAGGAGAAAACTTCTCTGCGGGCTGTAGGATCTTGTACATTCTGCGGTATCCTCGCACTCTGCTAAGATCCCAGCTCCTTAGTACTTGCTTTTCTGTCCCTATCAACTGTATGCTCCGAGAGAGAGAGAGAGAGAGAGAGAGAGAGAGAGAGAGAGAGAGAGAGAGAGAGAGAGAGAGAGAGAGAGAGAGAGAGAGAAAGAGGATCAGACAATCCTTAGCAGAAAGGAGCCTTGAACAGCGGGTTCTGCTTGACACATCTGCTTCTGCCCTGTGCCCTGCATTCCCTAGTGTCAGGAGCATGGCACGTGCTCTGTAAATATTTGAGAAACCGATGACAGGCCAGGGCCTTAAATGCGCTTCATAAATATCGAAAGAAACAGGAAGTTGGTGTTCAGCTTGCACGTCGTTAACCACCAACCTTTTATCCTCTCAGTGCTGTTTTAAAAAATCATCTTAACTTGATTTTCTTCCTCTTGCAGACCTTTTATTCTAAAAGCTTTTAGGCCTTTTGTGCCATTTTGGTGGTTATGTTTAATTTCCCTTTTATGGGTTCTAAAGACCTCAACGCTGTCCAAAACATTTAAGACATGGCTTCTGCATACCGTATTTAGACTCTTGATTTATTTAGCTTTTATCTCTCTTCTGGGAAGAAGTTGCACATAAAGCTGTCAGGAAACTGTCCGGGAGAAATGAGTGCGTGAGGCTGAACTCAGAGCCGCGGTTCTGGCATCAAAGGGATCCTCAGGTCCTCTCCTGTCATTTTGCTGAGGTCCCAGAGCTGCGTGGTAACGGGATCTTGGGCTAACAGGGGGACAGGACATGGCTGAGTCTGCCTTTGGACTCTTTTAAAAAATTCTTCCACCTGTCCATTGCAACCTTGCAATGTGGTTGATGAGCTGACCCGGGCTGTTTTTACACTTTGGAGATGAGGAAGAGTGGGGGGATCATGAAAGAACTAGGGGTAGGGTAGTTCAGAGAATGGGGTTCTCAGCCCTGCATGCTCTGGAGTTTAGCTAATGCTCATGCTGCTGGTGGGACAGAAGAAAGAAGAGGCTGCTCATCAGCCTTCAGCCATAGTCCCGGGTGACAGTGTAGACAGTTTGGTAACGCCTGCAGGACCCTGGGTTCAAGCCTCAGCGCGCACACACAAAGAATTAGTACAACTGTATAATTGGCAATCCAGCTAGACTACAAAAAAATCAAGTTTACCTTGATAAAATCGCATTCCCCTCCCCAAACTTTCACAGGGCTCAGAATCAGGCCTGCTGGTCGTGAAGGAGAAAGGGAGTGTTCCGTTTAGCCTGCCATGACCACTGGCTTCATCACATTCCTCCTTGGGGGGACAAAAAACGCGGATCCCAGCCCCTGGATGGAACGATGATGTCTAAGTGGGGTGAACTTCCACAGCTGGCCTCCTAACCGCAGTCCCTTTTTTACCTGGTGGGAGCGTGACTTTCTTGCAACATAAAACATTTCTGTCTTAACTATCTCTCAGAAATACTTGCCATGTTTTTCTCCCCGAGTTTCCTAACAGATGGATTCCAGAACAGAGGGACTTTTCCTCACCCGCACTTGGAGGACAAGTACCGCTTTCTCCCATCCCGCCCTCTGCTTTTAAGTTCTTTGTATAAGGGGAACTTCCCAGCTCTCTGGCTTGGCTAATTCAGTCTTCTCTTCGTGGAGCTTTCGCTTTAGAAAGCTTTGGAGGTCATGAGTGGACCTGGAAGGGTGAGAAATTGACAGCATGAGCCCTGAAAGGCCACTTTGCACTCCAGTCGGCATCGCAGAGTCAGGAGAAGAACGCAGGGTTGGGTACCGAGACAGGGATGCTGGGGCAGCTGGTGGGGAGTCTTTTACAATAAGAGGCTCTGGAATGGGAAGAGGGCACTTTGGAATAATGTGGAAGGATACAAAAGGCGAGGCGGGATGAAACGGAGAGGTTAAATTTCTAGGGAGGGAGAGCGAGGGGAGGGTGGAGTTGGGCTCCAGCCCCTTCCCAGCCAGCCCGGGGCCCTCTCCTGGCCCAGAGAGGGCTCTTTCACTTCTTCGTGGTCTGGCCGCTTTCTCAATGTTCCAGATGTCAGGAGAAGACCTCGAAGTGAAACCTAGGGCAGATAGGAGAAATCCATTCTGTGTGACGGCTGTGCCTTTCTGGAAGCTATTTGTGTGATGTCATGGTCATTTGTTTAAAGTCATTTCCACTGTAAGGCATGTCTTAAAAATTTATCGGAGCACTTCCCTGGAATACAGACCGATATCAAACAGTGCAGACCTAGGTAAGCGCCCTGGGACGAGATGAGAAGTCTCCCTGTAGCCTAAGTCATCAAAGGACCCAGACAGGGTCCCACCTGTCTCCCTCCAGGAAAGAGTTAATGCCATTTCCAAATTCCTTGGGGGCATCTCATGCCTACATCTTGTATTCTGAACAACTATTATGAATGTAACAGTACACAATGTATTCATTATTTTTACTCTCCTACAGCCTGTTTTGAAACTTATTTTTTTCTCTTGAAAAAAATTCCTTGGGAGAAAGGCCTCCCGCTTCTCTCTGTAACCCACCTGGATAAAGCAACGAATGGTATTTCACTCCAGTAAAACCCTCAGTTTAAATTACTGGATTTAAGCCTGACGCTGTACTACTCCCACAGAGCCGAGCGCATCCCTGCACTTTTTAAAGGAATGTGCCTGCAGTTAAAGAAAGCACCACTAGATGGAGATGTAATATCTAGCTTTTTGTCACTGGACCTTGACAACCACAAACTCAGTAGATTTTAAGCCTGTTACACTAATGTAATTGTTAGGAGCTCCCCTTTCCATATTCTAAAGAATGAATTTTAAACTGGGCTCTAAACAATATATGAAAAATATAAGAGCTTTTAAACCTGGATGTAGTGGTGCACATCTGCAATCCCAGCACTTGAGAAGCTGAGGCAGGAGAAGTGCCATGAGTTCAAAGTCCGCCTGCGCTACACCGCCAGATCCTGTCTCAAAATTACATATATGTGTGTGTGTGTGTGTGTGTGTGTGTGTGTGTGCAAGCTTTGGACTTTTTTTCAGTGGTTTCAACAATCGCTCGTTTTAATGATTACATCTACCAGTTTAATAATTATTCCCTAACTGCGTTGGGTTTTCCAAATATTTTGTGCTGACCTCTCCTTATTCTAAGCCCAGTCCGACCCCCTGAGCTCACTCTAGTGTGTGGGAATACACGTCCCACAAACCGCTCAAGTTTTATTATTTAGATGCTCACTCAAAAGCTTGAACAGGAGGATCTAAATTTGCCTAGCATCACCTTCTTTCTCTAATTCTATAAACCGCTCCGTCTGAATCTGCGCGAAGCGTTACTTCCCGCTGGCGTCTGGCAGTAAGTAGACAGCTGCTATCAACGCCTCATTTTTCATTTTATCTATGTGTACCAGTAATCAGCATAATGCTATCATCAGATTTTATCTTATTATGAGCCGAACGAGGAACGTATCTCAGAAAGCATCTTGGAAAGTGAACATCAGGTTCCAGGAGGGGACGGTCTCCCCTGGCCTCTGTCTTTTTCATCGCAGAGTCGGGGTGTGGAAGGCGCGAAGCCCAGCCAGCCTCGGTGACACGCGGCCCCAAGCTACTTTGGTTCTTTGCCGCTTGGAGTTCGGGGGCCTCTGACGGCTGGATTGCGGCTACAGAAGCCAAACGTCTTTGCTCCCTTCTGCTGAGCTAGTTAGCGTCACCCTGACGGCTCGGG